GGCTCCCTGCTCGGCAGGGAGTCTGCTTCTCCCTCTGACCCTCCTCCCTCTCATGCTCTCTGTCTCTCATTCTCTCTCAAATAAATAAATAAAAATCTTTAAAAAAAAAAAAAAAAAGAAGAGGAACTCAATCCTTTTCTGGATTTCAGGCAGTGAAGGAAGGATGGGAGAAGCCATCCTAATTCCCTGCAGAAAAAAAAATGTGCTTCTCTGGCAGGGAGCCACAGCGGGGCCCAGCAAGGAGAACCACTCATGTGTGCGAGCACCAGCCCCAACCAATTTCAGGGATGTGCTCCAAAATTCTGCAGGAAAGAAGCAGCCCATACCCAGGGCTACCAATTTCATGATGCTGTTCTCTTGCCACGGCAGGTATCGGAATAGCATACGTGGCCCCCCCATATTAGCAGCAAACTAAACCTAAACGCGTGCCTCCATTTGCCCATCTGCGATACTTTCCCTAGTTGTCTCACAAATGATCTCTGAAGTTTAAACATGAAAATATACGTAAACCATGCCCTGAAAGTATCAAGCTCTGTGAGCTTGATGATGATTTAGCTCTGCACATTCATGTGATATTCTGAAATGTAACTATGTACTACCTTGATGACACATAGGCATCAATGAGATTGAAACTAGATTTGCAGATGCCTGGATGGCTTAGTCAGTTAAGCATCTGCCTTCAGCTCAGGTCATGATCCCAGGGTCCTGGGGGGAGCCCCCAAACAGGCTCCCTGCTAAGCAGGGAGCCTGCTTCTCTTTCTCCCTCTGCCTGCCGCTTCCCTTGCTTGTGCAAGCACTCCCTCTCTCTGTCAAATAAATAAATAAATAAAATCTTTGAAAAAAACCAAATCCTAGATTTGCTTAATTTGGTTTATTCCTCATCATACAAAGTTATTCAAAGGTAAATATCAGTGAATGTGTATGATGAAAGTGAAATAAAGTATTGATAATCAGACCAATTTAAAAAATGTTTTTACATTAAAAAAAATCAACTCATTCAGGAATGAATAATTGTTGCTGCTTTCTTTTGAATTAGCTAGATGGTATTATTCTTTTTCTAGCCATGGTCTGAGGTACATGTTAATTTAGAAATTACCACAAGGTAAGAGAGAGGTCCCAAGAAATTGGGGATCCTGATCTCCTTTCTCAAATATTAACCAGAACAGCCACTCTTTTCTGCTCAAAATATAGTGTTCCTAGTAAGATTTTGTTTGAAGAAAGGAGTCTTCTCCTATAATAAAAAATCTGAAAGTAATTTTTCTATATAATCAATTCTATCAAAATGAAAAATATGTAATTTTGAAAAGTTATATGAAGCAATCTCATATAAACATTGCCTTTTAAAAAATGATGACTGTGCATGCAATGAGATAAATATTGCCATTTGCCCAGGTGTCTATCTCCTATTCTCAGAGCCAGTGTCCCTTATTCTTCATCCTCTCCTCAACACCTTTAGCTTTGTGTACATTTCTCCAAACTACAAACAAAAATGCAGGAGGAATTAATCATATGAGAGTTATTTCTCAATGATGAAAACAATAAGGTGCCATAAATTTCAATACAGAAACTGAGCAAAATGAATTCTAAGATAGAGGCCAAAATTATCTTTCTCACCATCTCATTAATCTCTAATACCATCACATTAATAATTTTATCCATATCTTAATATCTGTATCATTTTAGTTTAATATTGGCTTTACACTTGCCTTACACTTAAGGTATAAATTATAAAACTAGCAAAAAAGAATGCTTGATGAAACAAATAATATCAGGCTGGCCTGACAAGTAGTATGGAGTACATATGAACTCATTAAAAAAAAAAACTAATAAACCATCTATTTTAAGGTTATAACTATGAGCATTTACGTAATAATGTTTGAATTTAATATCTGTACATTTCTAAATAATTCTTTCGTTTAAAGATGGCACACCAGTTTTTGAAACATTCACAGTTTTGTCACACCAACTTGTGACATTTTCGATGATTTAGAGGAGTGTTCTTTAAAAGAAAAAAAAAGTATAGAATTGAAGAAACTCTTCCCATACTACTAAATCCTGTAGACTTCTATGTGTTCACAAAGAAAATCTTTCAATAATTTTTCAAAATGCAGGTGTGCAAATTACTCCTGAAGTAGACAGGAGTCATGTTTTCAGTATCCCCTGAACCACTGTTAAACACACCCCATAGCATTTTTCAGCTCATAAAACTTTTATGAGCTGAGAAGTTCCTTCAGATTTTTTTTAACTGCTAACTACAGTTGCCCTCCAGCAATAGCACCTTAAGTTGCTATTAAGATCCATTTCAGCAAATATAACATAAACGTGTCTTGAGTAGCATGTTTTGTTTCATAGTAGTTAAAAAAAAATCAAGATTTATATGACTTGCTGAGCACAGCAAAAAATTATGAATGCTTTGGTTTAGTGTAGCATGGGTGGCATTTTTGCTTACTTGGATATAACAGTACATGTAGAGGTCAGTTCTATGTTTGTGAATAGATTTATACAAGTTCATACATGAACCAAGGATTTTCCAATCTGGAAAAATGTACCTCGATACATAAAGGCACATATGTATTTTCCTTATTAACGTACACCTGCCTTAGAACCCATTAATTTAACATCTGCTTTAACGTTTTCCCTTGCCAAAGTTCAAGATGCTTGAAAAATTAAATTTCTCATAGAAAACAAGTAAAATTAATAAAAGTAAGCAGTTGGATCTGAATAAACCTCATTGTCTTCTCAAGACAATAAACAATGCTTTTAGTCTTAAGAAAGACATATATAAAGTATACAAAAATGATAGATGAAAGAGAGAGACAGAGAGACGGAGGGAGGGAACTAGATAGACACAGGCTATACCCTGCCCCGCCCCACCACACACACACTGGAATCGCGTCCTGATGGAGAAACCCAACAATTCCCTTTCCATAGAGTTTTCTGACCTACTCTTATCAACACTGAAGAAAAACTAGACAAGCAAATCATGATCCTGTGTTTTAAAAGTGGAAGAAGGAAGAGGACAGACCTAGGTACATCTCCCAAACCCAGCTGAACTAAGTTAACAACTCCAATTTAAACACGCACATTTGTATAAATGGTTTCTGGGTCAGGTTACTCAGACCCTCCATTTCGAGGCACCATTTACAAACCTAGATTTTTTTTTTCCTGATGACTGTCAATGCTTCCAGGGAGATCATGTTGAACATTTTCTATTTTGTAATTTGATCACCTACACCTTATCACACAGTTTCCCATTTAGAAGAGTTTTTAAATGCAGAATAGTTTTTACTGTTTTCTATACTATTTGATTCACCTTAATATCTACATTAACTTGAGAGTCATCTAAATTGGGAAAAACCTCTGCATAGTCAGTCACTCAAGCATTTTTTTTTAAATTCTCAAATTAAGTGCTAGTAGAAATTTCTTTTCACTTCTGTTTTTTCTTCTTCATAGTAATACCATCTTGTCACTTTTCCGGCCCTACTAACAGCATTCCTCATTTCCACTACTTGGCAACTCATCTCTCTCTGACCCCAGTTTCAAGAGGTGGAAAAGGAATGTAAGAGACAGGAGACATGATACAGTTTCCAAGAAACGGCATCATTAGCAGGACAGTAATGTCCAAGCCTGGGCTCTTTCAGCTGTACTAGAAAAGTGGAGATTAACTGCAATACTCTGGAAATGTATTTCCTTCTGTTTACTGCTCCGCAAGAGCTTTTAAACTGAGAACATTCTGGATACTAGAAGTGTGAAGTTTCCCCCTACAGTACTGGAAGCCAGCTGACCTGACAATGGAGCTGCCTGTTTGTTTCCAACAGGTGCACTCCTGAGCACTCTAATGAGGATGGCATCACTCTTAAGAAAATGACACCCTGAGAGAAGTATCTCAACAGTAAGAGAGAAAATATGCTAAAAAAAAAAATCTTCTAGCCCAACCCCTCGGACTCCAGTCAAGGAAAAAATAACTATTTATTCTTTCAATTCACATATTCAAACAAGAATACAGCAACTTCACTAAAATCAGTGATCTCAACTTCTAAATTAAAAAGATACAAACCTGAATTGATCTATTAAACAGTATTCACTATATGTTCTCAATTCAGCTTACCAAAGTCAAAAGATGGTTGGTCTGTCCTTTAGGAAGGAACATTATCGAGCATAATGAAAACTGCAAGTATTATTCAACGTAAAGAAACAGTTTTTAAGAATTTTGCCGGAGAGAAAAATAAAATATTTGAGCAGAATAGAAGGCATCATAAGAATTCCTAGAGATGAAACAATTAAATCATAAAATAAATAACATTAACAGCCTGGTTTTTAGGGAACAGAGGTAATGCTGACATACCCATATCCAAAATTATATGTGACACAATGAATTACAGCATTTTCTAGAACTGAGCTAGGTTGTATTTGCTCTAAATATGTAAAGCCTCATTAAAATACCCAAGGACAACAGCTTAACAGTATGCTGAACTGGCATTAAAATAATATTTCAACTACAGACCTGGTACCCACCCCACAAGCTGTACAACCTATAAAATCCTGGGAGAGAAAAAAACCAAAGCAAACCTTTAGACGTCCTTCTACCAGCCCTGGACATGTGCAATACAGTTTTAGCTGTCCACAATGTAAGTACTGAAGGTTAATAGTTAAAGACCAATGGAATGTTAACACAGTCTAGTACTACACTTGAGTAGTAATGCATGGAAAGACACTGAAATTAAAACATTTTGTTCTGCATGTTCTGAAGTGATGTAACAGTGATGATTGGTTATATTAGATGACAAAGCAGGGCTTCTTAGGACTTTTAAAATGCAACTGTATCTAACATTCTTCCAAATAACATATTCTTCCAATTCTTGTACAAATACATGAAGCTAAAATACAGAATTTTTTTCACACTCCAGTTATCTTCTAATGGCAGCATTTGGTACGTTGATTTTTTTTTTTCCAAAAGTAATTTTCAAGATAAAATGCTGATTGCCTTGACTGACATGTCTAGAAAGCAAAGACTTACCTGTCTTGTTTTCTCTGACCTCAATAATAAAAACATTAATGTCAGGATGGAATTTTGTCCCTGCTGGGGGTTCTGGAGTGGCAATTGCCTGAGGTCTGCCGGCCTCTTTGCCTTCCACAGTGGGCGGTCTTGCTGGCTGCGTAGGGGAGGGAGTACTTGAAATTGTGAAATACTCTCTGTCAATATCAGTTTCTGTCTCCTTCCCCAGAACATCCTCCAGGGTAGTGGGAGGAACACGAGATGTTGACTCTCCGATGATTACCATGTCACGCGTTGTGTCTTCTCCAGGCTCCCTGTCAATGAGAGGTGGTTTCTCAGTGGGTACTGAGGATGGCTTGGATGCTGAGGTTGTGTGGAGTCTTTCTACTGAACTGAAGGCAGCAGTGATATCACTTGGAACTGTGGCTTTAACTGTTGAAAATTCTGGGAGTTCTGTCGCTGTGGGCTTTTCAAATAATCCTGAGCCTACATCAGTATAATCTAGGGATGTTTTCTCTCTTTTCTCAGGAGTGGTTTCCTCTATAAGCTGGGTAACATGGGTGCTGAAAGGTGATACAAATACCCCTGGACTAGCACTTTCTGTCTCATACTTCTCTTCAGGCTCTGGACTCAAAGACACTGTTGGCCCCATGCTTGGTGTGACCACTTCATCTGTTTTTGCTCTGTGCTCCGTGACAGCACCAGGTGGATAAGGCATACTGTGCTCAATTTTTCCAATTCGAGTTGTTTCGACAACTGGGACTCTCTCAGAAGCTGTCACCAACTTGTCTTCAGAGACTGTATATGGTGGCCCGTCACGTTCTTGTTTACCCACAGGTGTTGCTGCCTCCTCAGCCGTGGCAGCTGTAGAACTGAGAGTAGGAACTGGTTTCTCTGCGGTTGATTCTTTCCAAGGGAGTTCTTCCTGACCTGGTCCCCGTGTAATTTCTGTTGTTGTTCTTACAGTTTCAGGGGAAATCGTTGCTTCGAGGCGAGTCTGATTAATGACGTGTATGTCTTGAGAGGGTCCACCTAGAACTTCACCTTCTGGTGGAACAGAAGGTATCAATACTCCCAATTCTGTCTTGGGAATTACAGAAAGAGGAACGGTATGGGAGCTGTCTACATAAGCAGGAGGTTCTTGGGTGCTACTATAATTAACAAATGCCAATCCTTCCATGTCTGAAGTGTCTGCATATTGGGGGACAGTGGATACCGGCTTAGAGACATCCATATCTTCTCCTTCATCCAAAGCACTTCCTTCTGTGGTTGCGTAAACAACTTGGCCTTCCACGCTTGTGATAGGTGGAACTCTTTCTTCAGTTGTAGACTCTCTCAAAATCGGCCTTTCTGCAATACCAATTAATGTAGTTGGCTGAAATCCAACTGTGAATTTCCCATGGTCTGTTGTGTCTTCCTCAGTAAACTCTTCTAGTGGCTTCTGAGTACTATCTGGGATAAGAGTAAATTCATCTCCTTCATCTTCAGTGAAACTTGGGATTTCTTTATCCTTCCCACTCACTTCTGTAGTGGTGAGTAAGGCAGGGGGTAATTTTGGAGGGCCTGCATCTTCTGTGGACCCTAAAGGCTTCGCTGTTGTATTATCTTCATCCCAGGACCATTTTGATACAGTGACCACCTCCACAGTTAAAGTGCTGTGGCTCAAATGCACTGTTGTAATACCCTCATCATACTTGGTAGTATCTGGATAGCTGTCTGTTTCTAATTCAGCCAGTGTTGTCATAGAGTCTTCCTCCACATCTCTTGCCTCTGTTGGCACTACACTTAGTTTTGTTGTTGTCAGTGTTGGGGAATCGAAAGATTTGGTCATTTCCACTGAAGACTCTGTAAGATGAATTTCCTCTGAGGAAGCTGTAGAGAACTTCATTCCAGAGAAGCCTTCCTCCTCTATTTTTCCTATAAATGGATCTTTGGTGATCTTTTCCTGTATCTCATCATCAATATAAGTATCTGTTCTCATCTCTGGACTTAGTGTTTCTGTTCTCTCTCTTCCTTCTGCCATTTCTGTTTGTGGAGAGGGATAAATAACTGTGGGCATTCCCTCGACTAATCTTTTATCACCAGAATAAGGAAACAATTCTACTTCTGTATGATGCTGTGACGGGAAAGATGTGGTGGACATATATTGGCCAAAAAAATCTTCAGTTATTCTTCCATTAGTTTGTTTCTCTTCCCAGTTGTCTGTGGATGATCCATCACTGTCAGGCATAGTTACAGGTGAAAGAATTGTAGATGCTGAGACTGGCTCCCTGTCCTCTAGCGGAGTGGAGGCAGTGTCTTCTGAAGTCTTTGACACTGTAACGACTTCAGGTATTTGGCTAAAGACCAAGGTGCTCTGAGCAGATCTAACTGTAAATGTTCTGTCTTCACTGTCATCTTCTCCCAAGGTGAATCCATAGCGGCTTGTGGTCAGAGATTCAGAAATAGTGCTTACTGTTTTCTTTTCAGTTTTGGATTCCAGGGTCATTGTCATAGACACAAATGGTGTTTCTGTTACGGACAATTCCTTGGAAGGAATGTGCTTTGAGATTTCCATAGATGTTACCAAGGGACCCACTTCTATTTGTTCAATCTGTGTAACTGATTCTTGGGTTTGTAGGTCCTCCCTGACACCATCCCATGAATCAGTAGCATGATGGGAGATGACAGTTGTACTTTGAGGTACTTCTTTCTGAATTTCAGGTATGTCTGGCCTTCCAAGTGGTTCTAAAGCAGGTGAGTAGTAGTCCATCTCCCAAGGCTTCATGGTACTCCCAGCAGGTGTGGATGAGTCAGTGGCTAATCTGTGTGTGATAGCTTGACCCTGAACTGTGGTTTTCTGCTCAAAATTGACTATATTTCCCACAGGAGGGGACTTTGTTGTAATAATAGGTAATTCGGTGATTAGAGGGATGATTGGTGTGGTTCTGTTGGGTACCATTTGTAGTTCTTCAGAAAGACTGGATGATGCAGTTTCTGCAAGGATATTCAGTTCGATGGTTGTAGCCTCTGATATATTCTGTTTAGCTAGAAAAATAATTTCAAAGAGTTGATTAGACAAGTCACTAATAAAAAGTTGTACGTCCAGTATTGTGAAGTGCTGCTGTGTATTTTGGGGTTACCCAGAAGTGTTTTGTGATGAAGGTATCTAGAAACTGTAATTATATTAACTCAAGGGCAATCGAACATTTCATAGTCACAAACTCATCACTTGTTTTACATTGTAAGGTTTATCACCGCTTTCACCCATAAGGATGAATGACTGCTTTCGGTTAAGGAAAATGAGTATTTTGTAGTTTTAAGACAAGGAGAAGTCCAAAACCATATAAACTCAGAGTTTGGAAACAATAGACAGCTTACGTATCAGAAACGACAGCAGCAACTTGGGCCCTAGTAGAAAAACGTGGTAATACTATTCTGAAGGCTTCTTCTGTCCCCTGCCTCTAGCTTTCTCCCTCCTTCTCAAGCTGTGCTGTGTCTCAGGGGAGAGGGAGTGCCTCAGATTGCAAAACAACAAAAAAGCTACATCAAATGTACCTGAGTTACATATGAACTATTACATTGTTCATAATGTGGAGGGTTTCATAAAAACAGGGTATTAAACTTTTTAATACCACCCTTCACTTGAGTCCAGGTGTTGGGACATTTATCTTCACCTTCATTTCAACTCTGTAGTGTAGCCTTGGGTTTCTAATAAACAGTAAGACATTTCTGGCAAAGGCTGCTTGGCATTTGTGATAGTTCTACGTTTAGCTCTGTTCTACACACTATGTTTGTAACTCTTATAAGGGTCTTGGTTCCAGGCTTACTTTAGCATGAAACGCAAAAGTAAAACATGAGTAAAGTACCCACATGATATATTTTAGGTCTGTAATTACAAATCACTGGAAACAACTCTGAGCATCAGAAAGAATGGGCTCAGGCAATAAAAAGGAACATGTCATCATAAAATGCTACATTATAATGCCTCCAGATTTACAGAGAATGGCCTCTCCTTTTTAAAGAAATTTAAATTGAGTATAAAAGTGACAATGTTATAGACAAGATTCCCTTTCAACATAGGGAAAATGCAGCAACCTAGCACGCAAAGATTTTGTTTCTTATGAAAAAATCGGATTTTCAAAAACCAACAACTAGTCACCACTAAACTCAGAAGGAACTGTTCTAAGGAAACCTGTAGTCATTCTCTCGCCACATCCAGTATGACTTAAAACTAGCTGTACGGGGAATGCCTGTTCTCCCTGATGAGAGTTGTCACATGTGTAGTATCTAATATCTCTGTCTAACTCTCAGTAATCCCCAAACAGGAGTCCTTGGAAAACTAAACTGGCTATATTTGAACTCCATCTATTCTGTCAAAACTTAATGATATTAGGGCAGTGAAACTGCTGTGTATGATACAATAATCATAAATATATGTCGTTATGTATTTGTCCAAACCCACAGAATGTACAGCACAAAGGATGAACCTTTATGTACTATGAATTTTGATCATGGTATGTCCATGTGTGCTCATCAGTTGTAACAAATGTACCGCTTTGGTGGGCAATGCTGATAATGCGGAAGGCTGTGCATGAGAGGGGGCAGGGGTACACAGGAAATCTAACTGCTCTAAAACCTATAACTGCTCTAAAAACTAAAGCCTATCAAAATACTTTGAGGATAAAATGATGCGATTTTGTTGTAAATCAGACTTGAGTTGTAACAGGTTCTTTATTTTTGTCTGGGATGAGCTGTTATTAGCTGTGGTCATTCCCAGACTATTCTGAAGCCCAGATTCACTAATTTTAGAATGAAAACTTGGTGGCCATTTACATTATGGTAACATTTAAATATTCTCCAAAGTCTGTCACTATTTACCTATTACTATTTTATGCTGGAACAAAACTAAACAAAAAATAATTGGATTCTTCAAAAACATTAAATAATTTTTTTTCTCCTCATAAGAAAATCCTTTTCTATATTCACTTCCTGGAAGAAGATTTGGTCTATTTTGATTGACATGAACTTAAGGAGCCAAAGCGTGGTTGATGATCTCTCTTTTAATTCAATTCTCTATCCTCTGAAATTCCATAACTATTACCTCATTTCATGGCCAAATATCATGTTCGTCTTCTAACAGCTTTCTATGGGGAAATAGTAAAATGTACATACAGAGAAAGTTCCCATGGAAACATAACATAGTCACTTACACACTGCATATTAGAGAAAAAATAATCATATTATTGTTAAGAACAGCAAAATAGCTAATTTTGCTTTTTTCCTCTGAGTATTTCTGTGGCTGACGAAATTAACTTAAAAGGAGATGATATGGCATTAGGGCCAAACAGAAGTCCTGTGGATCAGGTTTTCCCATGTTCCAACCCAAGTTCTGGGCTAGCAACTTCTTACAATGCTATGAAAATACTTTTATAGTGTTATAAAAATAAAGGATTCAGATTTTAAAAACTAAATTGTACATCAATGCCGATTATTACTGTACCACTGGTGTTGCCTTCGTCTAGTCCTGGAGCATAGTAAAGTAACAGCACTATGTCTAAGAGACTCTCCCTTACAAAGCCAGGATGTATGTGACTTTGTTTTCAAAAACAAGGGTTTTCGATAATTTTAGAGTTCTGTTTAAAAGTCTGCTTATAATTAAGTTAATTAATTCTACTATTTGGAATGGAAAACCTCAGACTTCCTTTGGGGCTGGGGGGCTTTTTCGTCAACTTAACAGCTGATTTCCATCATAACTCAGAATATCTGATCATTGTTTCAACCATTCCAAAAAGAGGAAATAATTTTAAAAACCACAAATATCTCCAAAGAGATATCTTAAGAATAAATGTTACTATATTAATGGTGGCTATTACAAAGGTGAAAATGCAACTCCAAGTTATTCCCGAAGTGTCCTTCCAGAAGAATTCACATGGAGAAATTTCTGAATTGGAAACCTACCAGTGTCCCTTTAGCTTCATTATTAAGGAAGCCAACAGAAATCAGCATATTTCTTTTCCCACAAAAGCCCCATTCCAACCTTTGCAGCTGTCTGCCACACAGATGTTTTGCATCACTGTACTTATGGTATTTTATGTCCTATGGACTCTCTTCTCTGTGCTTCTGTTATAAGACACGAGGCAGATTTTCCCAATAAGATATAAAGATCCTATTTAGCAGCATGATAGTAGATTTAATGCACACCCATACTGCCTACATTATATGAAAGTGACTAATTTCAAATTAGTTCTTCTACATTAAAATGTTTTCCACATAAATAACTATAAACATGAGAATTCACAAATAGAGTAGATATTCAATAAGTTGATTCGGACTTCATCGGTAAATAGAATAAAGGCTGGAACAATGGCATTAGAATTCAAACTCTTTTTAAAAAGTTTTACGAGTGATTGAATGCTAACAGATTGAAATTCAAAAAACAGAGAACATATTTAAAATGCCATTTAGGGAAGTATTAGTTTTGGTGCCTACAGTCAGATTATAGTTGAGGGGACAAAAAGGATCGTAAGCACACCATAGGTTAGAAGGGCAGGCCAACTTTAAAAGTGAACAAATATGTAAGAAGTGTAGCACATGAAGTGGTGGGAACTTATTTAGCCTTCTCTAAGCCACAATTCTAGTTCCTAGCTTAATCAAACAGAGGGATAGAAAAAAATGAGGGTTCAAAGCTAGATCCCATAGATGACCAGACACTTAGAAATTAAAATTTCAAAACAAGAAAATTAGGTCAGTTGAGGAAGATGCTGAGAGACAACTGAACAACTGTGTTCAATAATAGAAATGGCTGTTATTTAGAGTTTGGTCTCCAACTTAAAAAGGAAAAATGGGCTTAAAGTCCAATGCAATGAATTTAGATAATTAGAAAAACTATCTGACCAAATGGTAAAAGGATATGAGAATGGGTTTTCTAGGAAACATGTTCTATCTCCCTGTCTTGGAGATCATTAATAACATAACGTGAGAGATTATCATGAGTCTTGAGTGGCTTTGACTGACTTAAATTTGGGGATGTATGGGTGATTTTTCAAAGTCCTAAGTCTCTAACTATCACAGAACTTGCTTAACTCTGAGGTCAAAGAAAAATCAAAAGTGCACAATTTAGTTTAATCATCACAGGAAAATACACAGGAAAATTTCATTTCACAAATGTACTAATTTCCTTGTTTTTTTTTTCTTTTTTTTTAATTATTTATTTTTTTTTATTTGAGAGAGAGAATGAGAGAGAGAGAGCATGAGAGAGGGGAGGGTCAGAGGGAGAAGCAGACTCCCTGCCGAGCAGGGAGCCCGATGCGGGACTTGATCCCGGGACTCCAGGATCATGACCTGAGCCGAAGGCAGTCGCTTAACCAACTGAGCCACCCAGGCGCTCTAATTTCCTTGTTTTTCAAATCTACTTGACATGAATAGATTCTAATTATGCTTGTCATCAGCCATTGTTAATATTCTATTCAGTGACGGTAGAAGGAAAAGAGAATTAGAGCAAAGTGAGGTTTGGTATTGTTCATTCACCAAGAAGTGGCTTTAAAAACCCCTTCTACATTTGGTAAAAAGCAAGCAAGAGAAATATGGTTAAATTTCTAAATTCCTCTACTTAACCAACCAGTGGTACATCTCTGAAATCGCTTTCGGAACTCTTGCTGAGGTCACAACTCATACACTTCACCCTAAGTATTTAGCCACCGCTCAACTGCGTGGGAAAAGTGAGTAGCAGTCAAGTCATTTTGAGAATATTTTTTAAATTCTTTAAAATATATACATTAAAAGAATCCTTGAAAAATGAATTAAGAAATTTGGGGAAGCTGTTGGCACTGTGTGTGATTTAAGAAAGATTTTTATGTTATGACTAAGCCTTCTAAATCTTCTAGATGCTGAATGCATTTTAAATATAATAGGCTTTAGGGAAGAAATAAACAAGACTCTAACCCTTAGATTAGATTTGGATTAGTTTAGATTACACTTTGGTTTGGAAAAAAACTCAAAATTTGAACCATGATATTTGGAAGTTATATATTTCCAAGTTCTATCGATTCAGATGAATTAGAAAAAACTGGACCTAAACTTTCAAACTTTTCTCAGATTTTATATAGATTTTTAGTAGGTGGGTACTGTATTTGAAACTAAGTATCTTGTCATTTCATGCGTTCATGTGAATTCCTCATTTAAATAAATAATTTAAAACACATCAGGATGAATTCTTTGTGTCTACAGACAGCCTTTGGTTTAAGTTTTACCCTCAGGGAGAAAAAAAAAAAGTGTTGTTTAAAAGTTCTCTCTTGCCAGTTTTATCAAGCACAAGAAAATCCAATTGAGCAAGGTAGTCCAGTTGGATAATTCCACTCCTTCCCTAATTAAACCTCCCTAACCCTGCCCCCCAACACCAATCTGATTTCAGTTCTTAATCATAGTCACTTAATGAAAAACTGATTTTAGAGCTTCAACTACTTGAAAGTCACTGTTAAAAGAATGTCTATCTTTCTACTTTTAGAGATAGGCTTTCCTCTTTATTGTTGTTTCTTTTCCTGAAAATAAGTAAGGAAGAACTCTTCTGCTGCTTCAGGGCCTAGGAACAAAAGTCAGTATTTTCAAGTGGCTTTTTATGGCCAGCCTGTATTGCCCTGACACTCAACGCATGGCTCTCACACTCGGAAAGCTGAGTCTGTGGGAGGAGATGTGGGCAGAGGCAGCTCAGCGGGGAGGCCGCGGCGTGTGAGATCACGCCTCTCCACAGTGCTAATGGCTCTTCTACTCGGACACCCTAGCGGTGACTGTTTGGTTGATAAAGAATGCCTGTGCACTTCAGTTTAGAAACCAATTCCATAATATTTTCTATTCATTTCAGTTATGTATTACTAAAATAAGATATATTGGAAACTTAGTAAAACCCTTTACTCTATTTCAATATAACATGGCTCTATTTTGAACATACTCACCCCAAATGCTAGGAAATCTTTGTTTAGCTGTCACAACAATACAGACCCTTCAGTAAAAATCACAGTGAGACTCTGGATTACTCGCTTGTTTGATCAAGCATCCTACGAGCATGATACTCTATCATGTGACTACTACTGCTAAAATAATTTAAGGACATCTGAAAAATTTAAGCAATTATATCATGAATGTGGAGAGATGTCACTTAAGATCAATTTTAAATAGCAAACCTAACTGAGGATAGCCTACGTTACACCTTTCAAAGAACATAGACTGTACTTTGAAATGGTACTAGAGAATTAGTGATTAGAAGGCACGTATTTCCATTACTTGAATTAAAATAAGATGAAAGGAGATACTTATTTATAGCATGGTTTCCTGTTAGGTATTAATTGAATGTTATGATTATCCATATCTGTTCCAAGTACTCACCTGCAATTACTGAAATTTGAATTCTCTGCCATTTCAAAGAAAGACATACCAAACAAAGACAAAATAAGCAGAATTCAAGGATTCAACTCAGCCACAGCTGGCCTCAACATTACAGCACCAACAATCTAATTACATTTAAGGACTGCAATTAATGTTAACAAAACAAAACAAAAACAAAAACAAAGAATCAGAACTATGTTCTGTGGATCTAGGTGCAATGGAGCATAGTTAAGACCTTAACTTGACATTTCCTCATCACCTCTAAAAAAACATCTGTCAAACTTCCTGTTGTTTTAACCATATCGCTGCCATTCTGTTTACTAGCTTTTGAAAGTCACTGAACTGTTTCCGTTCTGTGCATACACTGCAAGACATGGAATCCATTCCCACCACTAGGTGAACACCAAGGCATGTCTTCGAAGTATTTTTTTTTTTAAATCTGTAATTTTTAAAAAGGTCTCAAACACTTACGTTTAAAGCAGTAGGCATCAAATCTGCTATCAGGGGGAGGGAAGCCTGTCTGGTTCTCAAAACGATACAGGGTTCTCACCCCAAGTAAACCACCTCCACACTGCGCCCTGGCCACAGTCACAGGGTGGCGAACGCTGGTGTCCGACAGCCACCCGTAATCGCACTGGTCAAAGCCATTCCTCCAAGCTGCGTGGAGCTCCCCCACTGTCGCCAGCCGGGCGTCCTGGTTTTCACACTCTTCTTCAGCTTCTTCAAAGGTAAATTTATCGGGAGCAGTGATATGGAACACATCACCTGAAATAAGGAGGGAAAACAACACGACAACAAACGTTAAGTTTTACTATTCATTCCTCTCCACTTTATGGGTGGGTGGGTGGAGGGAGCGGCTAGAAGGACATACTTTTTTCATGGCAAGGTAGCAGCTTCTGGTTCTTTTTTTTCTTTCTTTCTTTCTTTTTAAGATTTTATTTATTTATTTGACAGAGAGAGACACAGCGAGAGAGGGAACACTAGCAGGGGGAGTGGGAGAGGGAGAAGCAGGCTTCCCGAGGAGCAGGGAGCCCGATGCTGGGCTCGATCCCAGGACTCCAGGACCACGACTGGAGCTGAAGGCAGACACCTAACAACTGAGCCACCCAGGCGCCCAGCTTCTGGTTCTTTAAAGCAGTAAACAGCATGGCGACTCAATTTTGCCACTATTAGTGTGACACATACCAGAAAAGTTCATATATATTAACTTTAATATCAAATGACTGCTTCTATGGCCCATGGGTAAACAGAAGCAACCATTTGATAATAAAGTTACAATCAATTCTTTAAAATGAACACACCTTCTCCATTGAGTCTTTCGATTATCATCTGGGAAACGAGTTTTCTTTTCCGTGAAAGAGCAGGCTGGCAAGGGAAACTATACTAAAATGTCACCCAGGTTATTTCACGTCGTTTCACCTGAAATCCAACAGTAGCTCTCGAACCCTCCTTCTCACCTATCACTACCATCAAAATGGATGAACTCCCATCAAATTAAACAACAAAACAAGAAAAACTCCAGGGTTTGAAGATGCAAAGGGACAGAAGCAAGATGGGTCCCATGGTTGTTACGTCATCCGGGGCTGAGAGTGCATGGAGGCCCCCTAACGTTCGCTCCCACTCCAACTGGCCCAAGTGACCAAGGTTCCCCTGGAGGAAGAGGCACGTTTTTGTTTGCTCCTCCCTCTGCCCACGGTGCATACCTCTCGCAATATGTCTGCCCAAAGGGGGCGCCCTTTTCCAGGTCTCACAAAGACATCATACGCACTAGCCGGGGCTCTAGCTACGTTTGAGAAACTCTTCTATTTGCTTATTGATTAACAAAGGAAGGCTGAACGTTTACTTTGTTCATCGCCAGGCCCAATTAGCAGAGAATCTGTTCACAATAACTTAACATGTCACAATAAAATATTCTGGAAATGCTAGAATAAATGCTTTGTTAAATCGGTACGTGGGGAGCTAACGAAACAAAGGCCGTAAATAAATTCAATGCAAATTAAATGATGCTTCTCACATTAGAGCACAAGTGGCTCGAAGACAGAGGCAGGGTGAGAGAATACCTAAGCAAATACAGCAGGCAGGAGGGAGAGAAAATGAGGCAGGGGGAAGCGAAAATATTGATAGCCCATTCCGGCTGCATCTCACTGAGGCCGTCTCTGACTGTATGATTTATTAGACAAGGGGACTCCAGAGCTCTCACGATTCGGCTCTTCACCTGACTAAAGCCAGATGTAACAAGCGATTGTTTACAATAAATAGAGCCATTACTCTCTCTGAGTGTGCAATAGCTTCATAAAACAAGAAAAATTAATCGCGGGAAAAATGGCCAAATCACACACGTCAGCTTTGGTCACTATGAATCTAAAATAGGCCAAATCCCTATAAGAGCTATTTGAAGAGAGAGAAAAATGACTTTTACCTAACTGAAAAAAAGTAAGGGGGGGGGTGGGAATCGCTTTTTGTCCTTAACTGTGTAGGTTGGCAAGGACAGTAACCTCAAATCCAAAATACACTGTAAGAACGTAAGTTCCAGCCGCATTCCTGCACCATCTCCCTCCCTAAGAAATTTTAAAAGCATAAGGGTCACAGTACCACTTACGGAGTAGATCTTCAATAATCCTTGCTAAGTGAATGGCATTTCAAGTTCTTGTTAAGAAACAAGGTGCTCTTTTTCTTCCGTCCTCCCCAAGCAGCACATTCAAAAAAGCTGACTGCAGCCGAGCTGTGGGGAGCTGCGGTCCAGAAGAGCTGATTCATCTCACCTATGGATTTGGCTTAAAGCAACCTGGGGCAAGGCAGACAGAGAGACTGTCTGTGTGCTCCTGAGCAGCCTCATTCACTTCAAAGGAATGCAAGAGTGAGAGAGGGCAGCACGCCAAACTGTTTCCCTCCAAGGTAGAACACTTGCATTTGTTATTACAGCTGGAATATCCTTCTGTTGCCTTAGTTCCCTGTGATGTACTGCAATTTTGAGGCAAAATGACTGCTCCTTTATAGTAATAAGAGTGATCAGCCAATCAAAGCAGGCAGAGAAATAGAATTGAGAGAGTAGAAGTCTGCTATTCCAAACAGCAATGCCAGTCTGTATATAGGGGGAAATCAACTTCTCCAAATGTGGCCAGACCAAAGGGCCAGTGAAGAAGAATGACAGCAGGATTTCATGGGTAACTGGTTTCCCCTCTTTTAAACAGCAAACATATTTGGGGTGTTAGAGGAAAGAAAGGTTTCAGAAGATGCTGGTAGGTTAAAAAGAAAATTCCCTTATTATTATTAAGTCAATAAAGATCTACTTATAGAATTTTTATATAGAAACTCTTGTTAAGTCTGACTATGTTGCAGTCAATTATTTAATTCATTTGTTTGGAAGATATAATTTCCATCCATCTATCCAATACCCATAAAATAATCATTTTACTTATTTGATTAAATTCTATTATCCCCAAGGCCACCTATTTTCCTTTATATGTAGGAACTTTTCAAACACTGAAAATAAAATTAAAAAAAAAAAAAACATTGAAAAAGATAGCACCATTGGGTTTCATTCAACTCAGATTTTAAAAAAAAATTTAATTGGCATTGAGTCAAACATCCAAACTTTGCCCATCCTATGTATCAACCTCAAAATATTAAGGCCAGGACATCTTATACTTTTCTAAAATATGCCAGAATATCCTAGCATCCGTTTTATAGTGAAACCCAAACCAGAAAATAGAAAAGGTAAGTCAATAGGTAATGCACAGCAGTAATTGAACTAATTTGTATTACTAAGTGTCTTGGATTCCTAAGACATCTATGACCTCCTGTTTTGTTTTTATTCATTAGATGCCTGGTTTTAATTAGATAATCCTTTGACATTATATATCTTTTATCTAACATAATACAAACATAGGTGACCTATTGTTTAAATCAGAATTAACCTATTAAAAGCTTATTGTTGAAGATGTGGATCAGAAAGACTGTTAATTTATGGTCCAAATTCGAAGAACATAATTCCCAAAAATGTCTTCTACAGAAAACTGGTGATCCTTTAGATGCGAGTAGGTATTCTATAGAAAAGAGGTTCCACGGACAACTGCATTTGGAAAACAAATGCAAGTGATCTGACAGGTTTCTGCAAGACTTCTCAGAGCATTTAATATTATAGCTTATTTATTGAGAGTTCCCACAGGAAGTTACAATTTGTAAGCCATCTGACCAGAGAAGCCTCCTTTACTCATAGAATACTAATTAATAGTCCATGGACCTGTTTCGTGGAATCATTTTCCAAACTCAATGAATCCATAGCAAATATAATTTGCTATTAAGTTTCTGGTTGCCTACGTGTCAACCTACTTAAGATAGAAGCAAAGTGGACCAGGTAAGCAAACAGCATTAAGCAGGAGCCAAAAAGCTAGAGTACAAAGCAAAGGGTATATGAAGTCCATTGCCTCCTAGGGTTGCATCAAAGCCTGCCAGTGAGCACAGGGGACGGGGAAGAGGCAGGGACCTCGATGAAGCATCTAAGATGGTATTTAATGAACATGGAGGTTCATTTCTTAAAAGAAGATCTTTTTGAGAAAAGTAAGCCAAGGAATAGCAGATAAAAGCAGGCTTTCTCCTCAATAATAAGTGGTAGGCACAAAGCTTTCCCACAGAAAAAAAGCATATCGATACCACAGGGAAAAAAATGCAGATTTTAAGCTAAACACTGACCACTTTTACAATGATAAAGCAGTCAAGATGTTAAGATTTTCAATGTTTCCAGTGATCTACTCTCAGTTTTTAGATCCATAATCAGGAATTATTTACATGTCAGATTATATGTTCTAAACTATAACGCAGCAGAATGAAATGAGACAGATACTAAGTCTGGGCCAGTAACAATAATGTAACTCCAGCCTTGGTCCAAAAATGAATGATCATAACAGGATGCATCAAGACATAAAGTCTGAAGTTCAGAGTCAAGGGCACATCAGGCACCAAAAAATCAAGAGAAAGAGAAAGCAAACCTGGGAAATCAAGCAAAGCCACGCAGTGCATTAGCTTAGTTTCTTTCTCTACAACACAACTTAATTGGTCAGGTTGTGTAAGTTCCTGCCCCAAAGGTATCTTAAAGGCACCTTTTTGCCTCTGATGTAGGTAATAAAAGTTCCTTCTGAATCATAGTACTGCGTTAGAGAGGGAGAGAAAGCAAAACCTTTTGTGAGATAAAATGCCCGTTTTATTAGCACAGGACAAGGCTGTGTTCTCTTTCTACCACTGAATACTTGTAACTGAGCCATTTAATGTACTTTAGATTTACTGGATAGTTGCCTTCCTGGATGGTAGACATTACTTTTCCAAGTTGACAATGAGTCTGCTCTCTAAGTTCCAGAAGAAGCCTCTTCAAGGTAGCTACATCTATAAGACACTTATCATCAAATTGGTAACTAGAGTAAAGATTTGGAACATGTTTGTAAATGTTAACTACCTATGAGAGAATACTTAATTTTTCTCTAAAGAGAACAAATAAAATGTCAGGAAAGTAATATACAAAATGTTTTACATATAATTACTTAACATAAAAGGTCAAGTTAATTTAAGTTAGCATAAGTAAGAATTCATTGAGGTGTATACATATATGCTCACATTAGTACACACATGAGATATAATAATGCTGAACAGAGGATTGCAGATATAGGATAATTTGCATACTTATCTGAAAAACATATATGTGGTATCTTAATGCATATTTTTCCAAAATCTCAAATTAAATGTTATCGGTTTGAATTATTCCTGTTATTTCA